AAGGCCAGACGCAGATACCAGAACTGGATTTCTTGGATTTATTGTACACACAAACAGCTCCTTAAAGAGCTTCCCAAATTCAGCTCCAGCCCCACCCTCTCCACTCTGTTTTAAATAACGCTGCTCTTGAGAAGGTGCTAAGAGGAATCTTTTAGGGGGAGGGGATTGTAGTCCATGTTCCTACTGAGGGCCACCCATCTGACCTCCCCTCCTCACACTTTCCAGCCGGGTAAATACAGGATATCCTGTCCAGGTCTCAATCTGATGTAAGACCCTAGATTCTGTGGAGATGCCCCCTCTCCCTCCTGATGTCTGGGCTGGGAAGGGGGCATGGCCCAGCCCTGGGTTGAGCTGAGGAGTGGACATGAGCCAGAGTGAGACTTATTCTGGGTCAAATCTGGGCCCAACTGGCCACTGCCCCCTCCCTCGCTCTTGCGGGCCATTTCTGAGTCAGCTATCCCTGAGTTCTGGGATAGAAGGGATCCATTCCCCAGACCTCACCTCAGGCCAGGACTTGCAGGAAAACATCCCAGCTCTTGGTCCTCTTGGGTAGAGTGTGGGGGCTTAAGGACATGAAAATGGGTGTGTGGGGGAGTCCCATCCCCATTACCCATGAATCCTAAATCTCGTTAATATACAGAATTCCCATCATTCCTGGCAAGGGTCAATACAGACCCAGACTGTCCGGGAACAGCACCCACACCTCCCTCCCGAGGCTCTTCAGAGAGCGAGAAGCCTTCCTTTCTCTTGGTCCCCATTCCCTGCCCTTCCTTTGACCCCATTTGCTAAGCTGGAGGGAAAGACTCTGTTATCTTTGCCCCTCTCCTGCAGGTGGCTGAGAGGTGGGGTGGGGAGCATTTCTCTGGTGGGTGAGACTGTGGTTCTCCTTGGCCACCTTGCCATTTCTAGGGGAAGGTGTTTACTTGGCCCCCAATGTTGGCAACTTCTCCTGAGGTGACCACACCCAGCCCTAAACTCACAGAGACCCTTACCTGTGCTTTGGTTATGGCCTTAACACATACTCTCTACCTTCAGTTGTTGAATTCTGATCTTCCCTCCTTGCTGTTATCACATTATCGAGCGCTACGTGTCAGACATTATGCTGAACTAATGAAATGATCATTGTTTTCATTAATCATCATTAAAAAAGCAAACAAACGAACAAACCCGTTGCTGTCGAGTCAATTCCAACTCATAGCGACCCTACAGGACAGAGTAGAATTGCCCCATAAGGTTTCCAAGGAGCGCCTGGTGGATTCGAACTGCCAACCTTTTGGTTAGCAGCCGTAGCTGTTAACCACTATGCCACCAGGGTTATTAATCATAACTGGCTTAATTTACAAATGAGGAAACTAGAGCTCAGAAAGGTTAAGTAATTTAAGTTTTCCCAAGGTCACACCGCAGGTAAATAAATGGTGGAGCCCATTTTTTAACTGAAGAGTCTGACCTCTTAAATACCACTTCATGCTGCCCTAACAGTAACTTCTCCTGTTCAGGCATCTTGCACAATAGCCAAAAAAGTATGAGATCTGTAAAACGTGTTCAGGGATCTTACACAATAGCCAAGTATGAGATCTGTAAAATGGAGGTAAGGATAGTATCTACTTGAAAGAGCTGGTATAAGGATTAAATGAGTATTTACATATAAAGCACTTAAAATAGGACCTGGTCCTCAGTGAGTTGTTATTTTTGTTGTTCATGTTATTAATTGTTGCTATTAGTACCATGACTACTGCTGCTGCTTCCACTATGACTTGGTTGTCAAAAAGAGGACGTTGTAACTAGTGAAAAGTCAATAAATCCCCTGTGGGTGAATGAATGAGTGACTGAATGATGTTGTTCTTCCATTCCTCAAGGAAGGGGACCGGGTGATGGTGTTGAGCCAGTCGGGGATGTGGCAGGAGGAGGTGACTGTGCCCTCAGCCTACACCTATCTGATGCCTGAGGCCATGACCTTTGAGGAAGCCGCTGCCTTGCTGGTCAATTACATCACAGCCTACATGGTTCTCTTTGACTTCGGCAACCTGCAGCCTGGCCACAGCGTCTTGGTACACATGGCTGCAGGTAACAGGCCCCTTCCCTTCATCTACCCTCCTCACTCTGCCCAGATTTCCTTCTAGGCCCCTTTCCTGCAGCCTGTCTAGACTGTCATCATGGTAACACCAGGCTGCTTTGGCCTGTGGCGCCCAGAGGTCTCTGCAGTGCTGTTGCCTTGGTAACATTCAGGCACCAGGTCCAGCCTAGTGTGCTGTCCATATTAACGTGCCCTCTCCCAGCACCCTCTCCTCTCCACCAACCCTGCCCCCAATTCTCAATCATGGAAATTAGGGATAGGATGAGGGAGGAGAGTCCCAACCCAGATGAGGCAAGATGAGGGTTATAGACCGGGCCCTTGAGAGGCTAGCATGGGGAGTGGTAGCCAGGAGGCTCCATATCCCTGTTATGGGTGTCTCTGCAGGGGGTGTGGGTATGGCAGCCGTGCAGCTGTGCCGTACAGTGGAGAATGTGACCGTGTTTGGAACGGCCTCGGCTAGCAAGCACGAGGTACTGAAGGAGAACGGGGTCACACACCCCATCGACTACCACACGAGTGACTACGTGGATGAGGTCAAGAAGGTCTCCCCTAAAGGTGGGATCAGGGCATGGGAGGGCTGGAGGACGTGGGGAACAGGGAGGGTGTCGCTAGACCTGTGGATCCTAAAGCTGTTCCTGGTTCTTCTGACTCTGTGACAGGCGTGGACATCGTCATGGACCCTCTGGGTGGGTCAGACACCACCAAGGGCTACAATCTTCTCAAACCCATGGGCAAAGTCATCACCTATGGTGAGTTGGTGGGCTAGGGAAGGAGGGTGGGACTGAGGGGTGAGGCTCAGGGCTCCAGGGCTTTGGAATGGGAGAAGGGACAGGTTGTTGGGTGCTTTTTAGGAGGACCAGGGTTGGGAGTGGTCCCTGTATATTGGCATTCAGATTGCTGCCTCTTGGGTGCCAGCTACAGTCCTCATTCACAACTTTTCATGCCAGTTACAGTAAATGTTCAGTGTTCTCTCTGTGTTCCTCTTTGGGGATTATTCCTGATGTAAAGTCAACTAGTTTGCCTTCCTTCTAACCTATCCTGTGGCTTCTTGGGCAAGGTGCATTTTCATTTAAAAAACTATTTCACACAAAGTAAAGATTAGAGCAATTTTTGAGTCAGCTGAAATTGGTTTGGCCTGGTAGCTAGTCATTCTCTGGCACTGCTGTGGATAATTGTAAGGGGACCGCAGGGGGCAGACAATGGATGCAAACATGCCAGGATATGCCCGGCACCTGGATTCACTGGTTGTGCTCGGTCCCTCAGGAGTAGCCAACATGCTGACGGGCCCCAAGCGGAACCTGATGGCCCTGGCCCGCACCTGGTGGAATCAGTTCAACGTGACGGCACTGCAGCTGCTGCCGGCCAACCGAGCTGTGTGCGGCTTCCACCTGGGCTACCTGGTTGGCGAGGTGGAGCTGGTCAGTAGTGTGGTGGCCCGCCTGGTGGCTCTGTACAACCAGGGCCGCATCAAGCCCCACATCGACTCGGTCTGGCCCTTCGAGAAGGTGAGCAGATGGCTTCCGAGGGAGGGCCTGGATGTAGACCTCCTTAAGGCCAAGGTTCCAGGGGCAGGATTCCTGGGGAAGAGGAGGGCTGGCTCTTGTGGGTAGGGGTTGGGTGGCTTTGGGAGCAGAGTCTTTTCTTCTTCTTACCTCTCCAGGTGGCTGATGCCATGAAGCAGATGCAGGAGAAGAGGAATGTGGGCAAGGTCCTCCTGGTGCCTGGGCCAGAGAAGGAGAACTAGGGCAAGGGGCTGGAGGACCCTTGGGACCCAGGAAGGGGGAAGTTGGGTAGCCACATTCTGTTGACCACCAGTCTCGCCTTTCATCTTCTGTCATAATGCTCTGCTCTCTCTTTCCCGAAGGTCTTCGTGGTGATGACCTCTTCCCTGCCCTTTCTCTTTAGTCAGGGCTGTTCCCTCCCCCTTGCTGCCCTCTCCCCCTTCCTGCCCTCTGAAGAGGTTGGGAAGTGACCACTTGGATGTCTGGGCCCTGCCAAGGGGACAGGGAGGGTCAGAGGGAGGCTGAGTGCTTCCTGCCCCCCACACTTTCCCCGGGCCTGCTGTGCTGCTTTTGTGCCAAGGTTAGCCAGCCCCTCCCCGTCCTGTTCTGTGTGCTTCCGCCCCTGCCTCATCTCCCTCCTGCCCCTGCCCCACCACCTCCCCAAAGAATTGAAATGTCAGCTCAGGATATGGGGGCCAGTTTTTGTGAGTCCAGCATGCACCCGTCTCTCCCCAGTGTCCTTTCATTCCCAGGCTGACCAGCGCCCACCTCTGAACTCGTGCATGGCTTCTTCCTCCTCTGTCCCCAACTTCTTAAGCACAATTGGGCTTTTTCCATCTCGGTTTTCTACCACTCTTAGCCAGGGTTGCCTCTCACAACGCGAGCAAGCGGGAATCAGACCTCTTCCCCTGGGCCACAACTCTGTGGGAGGGACACAGAGCCCCCCCTTCACTGAGTTCTCTGGATCTGTTCTCAGTGCCTTAGCAAGGGAAAACCTATGCTTGTGTGTGTGCGTGCATGTGTGTGTGTGTGTGTGTGTGTGTGTGTGCGTGTGGTGGGGGGTCCCTGTCCCCGCCTCCTTCTCCGCCCCTGTTCTCCCCAGTGCCTTCTCATTCTGGTGGAGCTGGGGTTTTACTCATCCCCAGTCCCACACCACTGCCAAAAATCTGTGTATGTGCCAGTGTGTGGGGGGGTGTCTAGCCCTGGCCTCCCAGGCCTCGGGGAAAGCAGTCGCCCTTGTTGTGGGCTGTGCCATGTCCTGTTTCTGGGGGCTGTCAGTTCTCTATCGGTGGTTGAGGAGGACGAGGCGGGGAAGGTTTCTCAGCCTTGCAGATTAAGTGTGGCATTTACCAGCCAGGGCTTTTTGAGAGGCAGCGCTGTTTGTGTCTTGTTTTGGGACCAAAGTAAAAATCAAAGCACATTCCCTTTGCTGTCAACGGGGGCTCCCACTGCCTTCTCAGAGCAGGGAGGTGGCTTTTTTGACTCAGCCCCAAACTTTGTTTACATGGGTGGGGAGTTAGCACTGGGAGGGAAGAGGGGGTAGAACCTAGGCCGCTGGAGCTAAAGTGGGGACTTCCGGGGTAGGGGTGTAACTCCTCTGCTTTCTAAGCTGGGGTTAGGGAGGATTATTGCCCCAGCCATTGCCGATGGGAGGTGTGGGGAGAGGTCTAAACATGTGAAGTGCGATTTCTGCTTTTGTGTACCCCACCCCGTTACCGCAGCTGCCTTTGTGTTTGTGTCAATAAAAAGCCAAACCCTGGTCCTGGCCATTGCCTCTGAGAGTGCAAGGGAAGGTGAGCTGCTGGAAGGCCACTGCTGAGAGCCGAAGGGTTGTGGCCTCCCCCGGCCCTCCCTTCCAGGCCCAAATCAAATTTCCTTTCATGAAATGAAGTGAGGAAGAACATCATGCTACCCAGAACTTTTGCTGTTATTGGGCAGTGTTTTGCAATTTCTAATCCCTGCCCTCTGTGGTAGGCATAAAGGTCTCTCTCTTCCACGCACCCACCCCTAGCCTAGTTTGAGAACCTTGGCAGAGGGGCTAGGAGGTGATGAGAAGGACAGTCTTCTAGCCCGATGCAGAGGTAAAAACCGCCAGGCCCCGCTGTCCAGGAGGCACAACTGTCAGGGCCTCCACCTCCCCGCCCCCACGGGTGGGCTTCTGGAAGTGGATCTCAAGGACATCGTGCAGCTCTGGGCCATCCAGGATGTCGGGGATGTTGAACACCACCACTGAGCAGGGCGCTGGCTGGAAGCAGGTCTGGGAAAAGAGCCAAGAGATGGGCAAAGGCTCACGGGAGTAAGAAGCTAGGGGCAGAGGTTAGGGGCAGGGGTAGGCAGCACCCCATGTGAGTATGGGCAGGGTCTGGAGGGCTGGACAGGCTGGCAGAGGGTAGGTCAGTGGGGGGTTAGGGGGCTCTGATCCTTCCTTGGGCAAGTTTCTGGTGGGCAGATAGATAGGTTACCCTGGCTCAGCCCCCATTCTCCACCCTCCTGCTTACCTCAGCTTTCTGGATCTCCCCACTCAAGTAGGGAGAGACTCTTAGAAGGAACTGTTGCCCACCCAATGGCACCTTGAACTGGCCAATCTGGCACAGGCGCTGGGCCACTGTGGGAACAGGGAGGGGGTGGACCCTTCGCATCAAAGTCACTTCTTCTCCTGTGACCCAATGCACCCTGTACCCTAATCTCCCCTCCAAGAAGCCCTTCTGGGCCCTTACCTCCATCCCTGGTGAAACCCAGCATGGCACCCCCTTGCAACAGCTCTCGAATCTCCACATCACCACCCCCATTGCTGTCCTTGCCAAAGAAGATCTCCAGCTTATCCAGCAGCTGCTCCTCACTCAGCTTGAGCCCCGCAGGAAACCCACTGACCAGCACCCTCCGGTCACTGATCTGGCTGGACACCTAAGGGGAGACAGGAGGGAGTGTTCCCAGGCACAGCCCCACCACGCCGTGCCCAGGTGCACAGCACCCCTGCACATCCCAGGATCCTGCCGTTCTGTTACCTGAATGGTGGTCACCATGGGCAGCTCCAAGGGCCGAACCTGTACCCGCAGCCGGCACTCTTCCGCCACGTCAATCTTATGCTCCTTTTTTTGGAGCACCTGCTCGGCCACTGGGTGGGGAAAGCAGGATCAGTACTGGGGAGCCGCCCTGCCCTTGGCCTGAGGCTCTCCCACTCCACCCCCCAGCTCACCCTTAGGGTCATCGAAGGTGACCAGAGCAGAGCCTCCAGGCAGAGGGTAGCAGATCCGCAGGTTGGAAAGCAAACACTTGGGCGCTTCCTCGCCCTGCTGAGTGCGGCCTCGAAATACCAGGGGGATCTCAGGCATCGGGAATGGGACCTGGAGCTGGGATGCAGCCCAAAGGGTGAGAGGTTTCCCCACTCCCTCCCAGGAGAAAACACCCCGTTCCGCTGATGCAAAGTGCTAGAGCTAAGCACATTTACGAAAGAAAGGCGGAGGAATGTACCTCAGGCACCATGCTGGGCACTTAAACAAGATCTTAATTTGTTCTCACACAAGCCTGGGAGGTAGGTAGTTCCTGCTTTACAGATAAGAAGACTGAGGCTCAGAGAGTTCAAGTAACATACTTGAGGTCACACAGCAAGGAAATGGCAGAGCCAGGAGTGAAACTAAAGTCCCTGATTCCTGGCTCTTTTCTACCAGGCTGCACCCCTCCCACCTTACCTTGTCTTGGGAGGGATTCTTGGGGTCCTTTCTCAGCTTTTGCAGCTCCTCAAGCCTCTTCTTTAGTCTGTCCTGCTCCTCCAGGAGGGTGTGTAAGGTCTATGGGAACAGAGGGGACCAACCAGACATCTACCTGCCTTTCCAGAGACTGAACAAACCCAAGGGAAGGGGGCCCTATCCTGGATGCTCCGGAAGCAGAGTTGATGCCCAGCCCAAGAACAACCCACCCCCTTTCCGCTGGCCTGGGCTGGTCCTAGCCCACTCTACCCAGGACTTGGCTGACCTCATCTCAGTCTCTCTTGAAAGGCCAGGGGCCTTTACTGCAGCCTTGGCTGGTTCATTAGTGCCCATCTAGAAATTAACAAGCACGGATTGGGCCCCTGCTATGAGGTGTGGGCACTGAACTAGGCAGGGTAGGGGACAACGGGCAGTGGAAGCCAAGTGTGTGGTCACATGACATTGTAGAATGCAGTGGAAGTTCGGAGCAAGGACAGACTCAAAGGGGTTAACACAAGGGAAGCTTTGAGGAGAAGCATGGGCTTAGATTTGCAAAGTGTCAATATGATTCACTAACATTTATCAAGCACTTACTATCTGCCTGTCCTGGGGCATTGGTGGTTCATTGGTAGAATTCTCGTTTCCCATGTGGGAAACCCAGGTTCGATTCCCAGCCAAGGTACCTCAAGTGAAGCCACCACCCATCAGTCAGTGGAGGCTTGTGGGTTGCTATGATGCTGTTTCCGTGGAGCTTCCAGACTAAGACTATGAAGAAAGGCCTGGTGATCTACCTCTGAAAATCAACCAATGAAAACCCTATGAATCACCATGGAACACCCACAGGTGATCACGGGGATGGCGCAGGACCCAGCAGCATTCTGTTCTGTTGTGCGTGGCGTCACCGGACTTGACTGTGGCTAACAGCATAAGCCAGGCACTGTGCTAAGCTCTTTATATGGATTATGTCACTCAATTCTCACTGCAATCTTATGAAATACATACCATTCCTATCCTTATTTTACAGAGGAGGAAACTGAGACTTAGACAGATTGGCTTATGCAAAGTCATTCAGCCCCAGGCAAAGTCATTCAGACTCTAGACCTCACCCTGCTAATGTCTATGCTTTACAGACAGTTAAGAAATCAAGCCCAGAGCAGGGAAGTAAGTTGTCCCGTGTCACCCAACTTGTCCCTTGTCTGCCACTCTGTCCACTGTACCAAGTGGCCCCCCCAGTCTGGGTGTGATTTGGAGCAGGTCCAGAGAGATAGCTGATAACATAGGCAGGGGAAGAGCACTAGGGATATGAATAAAAGCTCCGTTGTGGGATGGAGCAGATGATAGAGTTTACAGTGTGTATGGCAAAGACATAAATAATGTTGGCTCTGTGAAGTGTGAGCTCTTTTGAGAAGATGAAACTCTGTCCTGGTCATCTTTCTGTCCCCAGTGCCTAGCAGAGTCCCTGGCACAGAACAGGTGTTCAGTACATATGTGCTGTGTGAATAAATGACAGGATAGGAGCAGATTATAAAGGGAACTAAAATCCAGTGTAAAGTGTAAACTAGATTTATTTTAAGTAGAGGAAAACTAGAGCTTGACCAAATTATGCTAGTTTATGAGTAGTGAGAAAGGTACCTAGTTATTTATATTTCTGTTAAATCAGGGGTTGCAAACTCAGTGGCTTCAGGGGCCAGTTAGATGACATCAATGCATCAAGGGAGCCAGTGTAGCACAATAGGGAGTAGTGGGGACTCTGACAAACTAGAGAACGTATGTCCCCACTAAAATGGGCAAGATTTTCTCAGCTGTAACTAAGTTTTTTCACATGGGCATGTAGTTCTAACATTTTTAAAGGAAATCAGAAATCTGGATTTTTATTTTAAGAAGATGGCTTAATTTTTAATATACAAAAAATGAAATACATTTGTAGGCTGGATTAAGTCCTCGGTCTGTCCTCTTTTTACTTCTGCTTTAAATCTGGATATGATTGCACATAATTGTTTGAAAATCTAGTTAGTAATGTTATTTAATATTTAAAGTCGATAGCTTTCTTGCTTGATTTTATCACAGTTTAGCCCAATTAATAAAAAATGTTTGCCTTGAGCAGAGTGCATAGTACTCTCATAGAGAATTATCTATATGAACTTAATCTCACAATACTTAATCTAAAGCAAAGATAAGAACTTTAAGGGGTTGTTGTTGTTAGGTGCCGTCTAGTCTGTTCCACCTCATAGCAACCCTATGTTCAAAACAATGAAACACTGCCTGGTCCTGTGCCATCCTCACAATCGTTGCTGTTTGAGTCCATTGTTGCAGCCATTGTGTCAATCCATCTTGTCGAGGGTCTTCCTCTTTTTCACTTTACCAAACACAGTGTCCTTCCCCAGGGACTGGTCCCTCCTGATAACATGTCCAAAGTATGTAAGACGAAGCCTTGCCATCCTCCCTTCTAAGGAGCATTCTGACTGTACTTCTTCCAAGACAGATTTGTTTGTTCTTCTGGCAGTCCATGGTATATTCAATATTCTTGGCCAACACCACAATTCAAAGGCATCAGTTCTTCCGTATTCATTGTCCAGCTCTCATACGCATGAGATGATTGAAAATATCATGGCTTATGCCAGGCACACCTTAGTCCTCAAAGTGACATCTTTGCTTTTTAACACTTTAAAGAGGTCTTTTGCAGCAGATTTGCCCAATGTAATACGTTGTTTGATTTCTTGACTGCTGCTTCCGTGGGAGTTGATTGTGGCTCCAAGACAAGTGCTGGTTAACGGGTACCAAAAAAACCAAACCTATTGCTGTCGAGTCCGTTCTGACTCTTAGTGACCCTGTGGACAGAGTAGAACTGCCCAATAGGGTTTCTAAGGGGCAGCTGGTGGATTTGAACTGAGCCACCAGGGCTCCGGGTTAAGGGGTAGAGAGCCTAGTGATGAAATTATATGGGTAGCGATAGTGAGAATGGTGACACAGTGTGAAGTCTGTCACCAGTGTTATTGACCTGTTCGTGTAGAAACTGTGAATGGATGTATGTTTGGTTGTATATATTGCCACCAAAAATAAAATATTTTTTAAAAAGGGGGAAAAAAAAAAAAAGAAAGTTTGGATTTGATATAGTAGGAAATGGGGAAATAATGCAGATTTCTGAAAGGGGGAGTGACATGATGGGTGTGGTGTTTAAAAAAAGACCAATCTGGCAGGGATAGCTGGGGAAACTGGAGTGGTGACCTTGGAACAAGAAAAACAACTCCAGACTCCAGGACTGTTAATTCTGACGGATGTGACAGGAGCTGGTCTGGGACTCTGGCAGTGGGCACAGAAAGAAGGAGCATGTGCAGATGAACACATTCCACAAGGAAAAGCCTTATGGATGCTTGCATTAAGGAGACAGGGGAACGAATCAAAGATGAGGCCAGGTTTCACACCTGGGTGTGCAAGAGTTTGGAATAAGTCCACTGACCCAGCAGGCAAGGGAGACAGCCAGCATTACTGAGGGCCTACTATGTGCTGGGCACAGCTGGACTGTGAATCAGAAAACCACCTCCTGTCCGCAAGTCCCTGAAACTTCCCAAAGGACCCACTTAAGAATAACACAGGCTAATTGTAGTCACTTGAATTCAACTATACACGCTGTTTACTTACATGATAACATGGCCCCCAAATGCAAGCCAAAGTTCTCTGGTGCTCAGCTGAAAAAATTGTGATCCCTTCTATGTTAAGCTCATTGAGAGACTAAATTTTGGATAATTTAGGGGTGAGTTAGTTAATGGATGTAAGGTTAATTTTGACTATATACATTATTCTCCCTTACTTGCTGTCTTAGTTATGTAGTGCTGCTGTGACAGAAATACCACAAGCGGATGGCTTTAACAAATAGAAATTTGTCACAGTCTGGGAAGCTAGAAGTCCGAATTCAGTGTGCCAGCTCCAAGAGAAGGCTTCTCTCTCTGTGTTGGTTCTGGGGGAAGGTCCTTGTCCTCAATATTACCCCGGTCTAGGAGCTTCTCAGTGCAGGGATCCCAGGTCCAAAGGATGCGCTCCACTCTCAACTCTTCTTTCTTCGTGGTATGAGGTTCCTATCTCTCTGCTTGCTTCTCTCTCCTTTTACCTTTTGTAAGATAAAAGGTGATGCTGGCCACACCCCAGGAAAACTCCCCTTACATTGAATCAGGGCTGTGACCTGAGTTAAGGGTGTTGCATCCCACCTTAATCCTCTTTAACATAACCCAATCTTGCCTGCTAACCACAGGCAGAGATTAGGATTTATAACACATAGAAAAATTACATCAGATCTCAAAATGGAGGACAACCACATACTACTGGGAATCATAGCCTAGCCAAGTTGACACATATTTTTGTGGGAGACTATTCAATCCATGACATTTGCTGAGTTTAGAACCTAACTTGAGAACCATAGGATAAAATCTCATGTAACTTATGCTCATCATGGGAGTGCTGAGAGACAGTTTAGCATAATTTATGAGCACAAACTTGAGCCAAGCTTCTTCCATCCCAGCTCCTCTGACTACCACAAGACCATGGGCAAGTTATTTTACTCTCAGTACCTTGATTTCCTCATCTGTAAAATGGGCATAACAGCAATTTTCACCTATAATCTTGCTTGGAACAGTGGTGCCTGGCACACAGTAAGGGCTATACTAAGTGTTTTCTATTTTAATAACCCTCAATTTATAGATGAGGTACTTGAGTTTCATCAAGGTTAAAAAATGGGCTTAAGTAAGTCAAGCCTGTCTTTTTATCTCCAAAGACCACTTGTTACTACATTGTTTTTTCTAAAGACAAATAGTTGGCAAGAGAGATGAGGTCATTTTATGGATATATAAGAAGAACGTGGCATCTATATGAGGAAGAATGTGGCTGCAGGATTGGTGGAAGACTCATTAACAACCTGCATTATGCAGATGACACAACCTTGCTTGCTGAAAGCGAAGAGGACTTGAAGCACTTACTGATGAAGATCAAAGACCACAGCCTTCAGTGTGGATTACACCTCAACATAAAGAAAACAAAAATCCTCACAACTGGACCAATAAGCAACATCATGATAAATGGAGAAAAGATTGAGGTTATCAAGGATTACATTTTACTGGGATCCACAATCAATGCCCATGGAAGCAGCAGTCAGGAAATCAAACAACATACTGCACTGGGCAAATCTAGTACAAAAGACCTTTTTCAAGTGTTAAAAGGGAAGATGTCACTTTGAGGACTAAGGTGTGCCTGACCCAAGCCATGATATTTTCAATCGCTTCATGTGCATATGAAAGCTGGACAATGAATAAGGAAGACGGAAGAAGAATTGATGCCTTTGAATTATCGTGTTGGTGAAGAATATTGAACATACCATGGACTGCCAGAAGAACAAACAAGTCTGTCTTGGAAGAAATACAGCCAGTGATCCTTGGAAGCAAGGATGGAAAGACTTCATCTTACGTACTTTGGACATGTTATCAGGAGGGCCTGGTCCCTGGAGAAGGACATCATGTTTGATAAAGTAGAGGGTCAGCGAAAAAGAGGAAGACCTTTGACGAGATGGATTGACACAGTGGCTGCAACAATGGGCTCAAGCATAACAATGATTATGAGGATGGCGTAGGACCCGACAGTGTTTCGTTCTGTTGTACATAGGGTCGCTATGAGTTGGAACCAACTCGATGGCACCTAACAACATTTTAATAATCCTAATTTTATAGATGAGGAACTTGAAGTTCATCAGGGTTAAATACTGGGCTTAAGTAAGTCAAGCCTGTCTTTTTAACTCAAAAGATCACTTGATTACTACATTGCTTTTTCTAAAGACACAGAGTTGGCAAGGGAGGATGAAGGGATTGTATAGATACTTGAGTTTGAGGTGACGATTAGACCTACAAAGGCAAAGCAGGTCATTAAAGACACAAAGGGTCAGGGACAGGGCTTGGTGAACAGGAATGTGGGTTGGAGCAGCATGTGGTGATCGTCAAAGTCAAGAGGATGGATGAGCTCTTTAAGGGATAGAGCCTTGAAAATGTGGTCTTGGAGGATCCCTAGTCATGGGTCAGGAGAGAAAAAGGAATGCAGAGAAGAAAAAAGAAGGCGTAATCAGAATAAGCAGTGCCAGGGCCAGGACTGGCAGATACCAAAGGAGGGGAAGAGATAAAACAGAGGTGAAAGAATAGGAGGGCTACAAGAATTCTTCTACTCATTCACTCACTCATTCATTCTACTGTCTCAGGAAAAGAAAAAGTGAGACAGAGGTATAATATGCTGACCATGCTATCTAATTTTAATCTGGAATCTTGGACTAACAGCTATGTTTTTGAGAAAAACATGTCTTCCTCAGTGGTCAAAACCAGGATGTGAAACCATATATCCCGAGGAGTCTTGACCGAGTGACCATCTCTACCTGTCTAAATGTTGCTGTCAATTCTAACTCACAGCGACCCTATAGGACAGAGTAGAACTGCCCCCACAGAGTTTCCAAGGAACGCCTGGTAGATTCAAACTGCCAACCTTTTGCAGTAGTTCTTAACCACTAGCCACCAGGGTTTCCTTTACCCCATAAGAATACTTGTAAAAGGAAAGTAGTAGCCCAAGAGACAGAAAGGGCCACATAAACAAGAGACTCCATCAGCCCGAGACCAGAAGAACTAGATGGTGCCCGGCTGTCACCAATGACTGCCCTGTCAGGGAACACAACAGAGAGTCCCGGAAGGAGCAGGAGAAAGGTGGGGTGCAGAACTCAAATTCTAGTAAGAAGACCAGACTTAATGGTCTGACAGAGACTGGAGGAACCCCAGAAAGTATGGCCCCTGGATTCTCTATCAGCCCAGAACTAAAACAATTTCCGAGGCCAACTCTTCAGACAGGGATTGGACTGGACTGTGGGACATAAAGTGATACTCGTGAGGAGTGCGCCTCTTAGCTCAAGTAGATACAAGAGACTAAATGGGCAGCTTCTGTCTGGAGGTGAGATGGGAAGGCAGAGAGGGTTAGGAGCTGGTTGAATGGACATGGGGAATCGGGTGGAAAGGAGGAGTGTGCTGTCACAGTATGGGGAAAGCAATTAGAGTCACATAACAATATATGTACGAATTTTTGTATGGGAAAAAATAAAATAAAAAAAAAGAAGAGGAGGTCTTTCTCCTACCAGAAAAAAAAGACCAGACTTACTGGCCTGGAAAAAAAAAAAAAACTTGTAAAATGAAACCACCCCGGGACTACCTGGTTCCATTTTCAACAGGCTACCTAGTTTCCCAATTGCAATTTTTAAAAACCCTTCATAAACCTCTCTGTTTTAACTTGAAACAGCATTCAAGTTTTTCTTTACAACACTACAAATAGCTATTGAGCATCTACCACGCGCCAGGCCCTGTTCTGGGCTCTATACAGCAGTGACTGAAACAGACAAAACTTCTTGCTCTTGTGGAGCTGGAATTATATGTTAATAGTAAGTGTTATGACTACAAATAAAGCAGGGACGGGAGGACAGAGAGTACTGGGGTGATTAGGGGAAGACTTGCTCTGTCGGCTTGACAGAGAAGAGGCAGTCCCAGCCCTGCATTTCTCCACAGTCTTCCAGCTGGTCTAAGAGCAGGGAGAGGCTTGGCCTCTGGGCCCTGAGATAAATCTGCAGGCTCCAAGCCAAGGAGTGCTCCACCGCTTCTCCCCACCCGCATCCCATCTTCCTCACTTACAAACATGGGTCTGGAGTCCGGCTGGCGTCAAGGCTTCAGAGCTGGGCACGACGTGGCAGAGTCCACCACTACTAAAGGCTTGCTAGTGCCCTTTGTGGGGCTTCAGTCTCCTCCAGCGACAGCAGGGCCCAAAATACACTTCTGAAGGTTTTCGAGGGCTCTTTGCTTCCACTTTCATTTCCGCGAAAGCGCTACCCTTTGGTGTTCACACGCCCCCAGCGGAGACTTCCCCACTCCTGGGAGGAGCCTCCCTGGTCTTCGCAGAGGACTCTGCCCAGTTATGAGGCCTCAGGAAACTACCCCACAAACAGTTGCAAAGCAAATGCCAGTCCCAAAGCATGAATGCCAGCTGTAGCCCCTTTCTCAATGAACTTGACATGTCTCTTAGCCTCACTCAGATATCCCCTCCCCAAATTCTTTCTCCTTTAGCTTTACCCTCCTCACCAGGACCTGGTTAGTTTGCATCATAGCTATCAAACAGCAGCCCGTCTCAATTCTCCCTACTCTTCGTATCTTGTTTTCTCTTCATAGAATTTCTAACTACCCAAGTCAGGGAGGTTGTTAATCGCTGTATCATTGGTGCCTTAACAGTGCCTGGCACATTGTAAGCACTGACGGAACCAAATCAATTAGCTAACTACACTATTCTTACAGGAGCAAGCAGTCTTTTACCTGGACACGTAACACTGCCAGTGCTGGCAGCTCAAAATTGTGAGAACTTGGTGGCATCATCTTTGTTAGCAGGGTACCCCTAGAGCCTAGTGATTCTGGGCACAAGCAGGCACTGACAAAATAATTGCTGTACATGAGTTTTTGCCAGGACAAATAAAGCTCCTTGATCAAGTTCACAAAACTGTTAACATCAGCCAGCATTTATTGAGGTGAATGTTATACGCCCAACACCTACCTTTCTGCTTTACATGAATTAACTCAATCCTCAAAACAACCCCATCAAGTTGGTTCTATTTTCATTTTACAGATAAAACTGAGGCACAGAAGTTTAGATACTGGCTGAAGGTCACAGTACTAGAACAGTATTTGAAGTGGGAACTTGAGATAAATTTTGTGAAAGGATTTATATTCAGTTCCATTTCTATGACCTTGAGTAGGCCAAGTTATTTAACCAGTCTCTCAAGATACCTAATACCTAGAAGCAAAAGGGTTCATATCAAGGGTACACAAAGCAGAGCATAGTGTATTTGTTTTCTGAGTCCAGAGTGAGCTCCCAACTCTTTTTTCAGCATTAGCATGGTGCCAAGTTTGGCAAACAGGCTTGTTTGAATACTAGTTCCACCTACTGATTTGGAACCACAAATGTTTAATCAATAAGACTGTCATAATTTTAAGTAACCAATGAGTTGTAAATTGTGACAGAAGGGACAAATTAACCAGTGCTTGCCTTTCCTGCACCACACAAGCCAGTGCCCAAGCCCCCTTGAACCACACCCTTTCTTGTTGGTTTGACAGACAGGACCCAGACTGGGGGGCCTGACCCTTGTCCCAGTAGTAATGGCTGCTCTAGGACCAGGCTTCAGCAATCTGGGTTAACAAAGTCACCTAGATGATTCCCACCTGTGCTAATAAAGTTCAAAATTCTCATCAGTCGTTTTCAACCCCAAACACCTGGTCCCTACCCAGAGTAGATTTTCATGTCACAATGCAGGGAGCGGGAACAGGTTCTCCTGGCATGTAATGGGACAAAGCCAGAGATGTCAATTCTGCTCAGGGAAGAACTATCCACAAAAATGTCAGGAGTAGCCCTTTTGGGAAACAGTTCGGTAGATCATACTTTACCCACTGAGGGATCACTAAAGGACTATCAGGCTGAGGACAGCAGCCCGAGTCTCACAAAGATATGCATGTTCCCGTTCCCTGTCTATTAATACACACAGCAGAGACACAGGCATTTTTTTTTTTTTTTTTTGTATTTTTAATGACTGAAATGAAAAAGATCTAAAACCGCAGCTTCTGGAAGAACCACTTGTTTTTGCCTGTCTTGTACCTGGAAGAAAAGGAAAAAAAAGACACCGATGAGAAGAACAATAGGGCTATGGAATTCCGTTCATGGCAAATAGGGAAACTGTACCCCAACAATTACCAATAGAAGACTACTTACCTCTCCTCAAATTTGACCTTGGCCTCTCGCCGGGCCTTGCGTTTAAGAGCAGGGTCTCTGAAGACATCCTTGTTGACAACAGTTTTGTCCAAGGGGATATCCACAGAATACCTGGGGAGTGATGACAGGGAAGGTAGGACCAGTTCACATGCTGTTAGGGTCTTCACAAGCCCCCCCAATACTTCCTCAGGCACTGAGGTATCAGGGTGTGACTCCATAGGAACAATTATTGCAAGCTGTGCCAAAGTCCTAATGACTTTTTGGAGGGGGAAACCCTCATTTTAATGGACTTAAACCACTAAAAAATCTGACACTCCATTCTCAACTTCCCACAACTATATTTCTACATCACTTTAATAGATCTCTTTACTTCCATCACAGACAACAGTTGGCTGGCTTTTAATTTGGAGCCATTTTAGTGTTGTTTGAGTTCTGCCTATACAGTCACCCAGAGTATCACTATGAAAATGCAACAGCCAGGTACAGCTAGCCACCTCAACCTCACAGCACCCAACACCTGAGAAGAAGCTGTCCTTTTAGGCCAGCAAACCAAGAGTCAATGTACGGTATTTAAGGCAGCAGACTTTAGGCACATCCTGCCAGGTCTGGGCAATTCTCATTTGGGACTTTCCCAGATCTTGTTTGTACTCTATAACTCTTTGTTCATTCACCACCCCTTTTTGACAGCCTGAAGTATACTATAGGGTGGAACGGGGAAAGAGGGCAGACCAGACCCTACGCCTGTGTTTATCGGAAACAAATGAAACAATCTTCACCCAACATCCAAAGAACTTACAAGTGAGGAGATAGGTAGACAAAGAACAAGCTTAGGAGAGACTTTTCAATCCTGCTTGGCTAAGTCGGCGAACAGAAAAAGACTAATCTAGGCCTTCAAGGGGAATACAGCTCCAAGACAGATGACAGAAGCAAGACTGGGAACCATGGCTACTTTATAAGTTGAAGAGTGACAAACTGAAAATGGTGTCCCTCTGCACAAATGGAATGGGTGCAAGGCCATCTCTGGATTCATTCCCACTTCTTGAAATGCTCACCTTGTTGGCATGAGGTGATTATAGTTATAAACTTTCACGAAAGACTTGATCTTTGACCTTTTGGCAATTTTCTTCTTGCCCATGGCAGCTGTCACTTTGCGAGGATAGCGGTCGATTCCTGCCACCAGAGCATGGCTGTAGGGGCGGTCTGAGGTGCCATCATCAATGTTCTAAATGAGAATTAAACTTGATATTAACTGAGGGCCTATTTAGACCCTATGCTAGATGTAGGGCAGGTCAGGAAAAATACTTCCAACCCCAGGTCTCCGAAGAGAAAAAAAAAGACAAAAACCACACTACAAAGAAGTCCTATACTAGATGTCCAAAGAGTACCAGGAAGAGAAATCTAGAAAGGCTTCTGGCGATTAAGGGATTTTAAATAACAACAATGAACTTTTATGGAGCGCTTGCTATGCACCAAGAATGCTGCTTAAAACTTTGCATCTAGTAACCTCCTCCATGGTTACACTGCTGCTGCTGTTAGTTGCAGTTGCCCTCAATTCCGACTCATGGCCACTCCCATGTGTGCAGAGAACTGATCCATAGGGTTTTCAAGGCTGTGACCTTTCAGATGCGGATTGCCAAGCCTGTGTTCTGAGGCACCTCTGAGCGGATCTGAACTACTTAATCTTCCAGCTAGTACTGTTGAGCACTTAACTGTCTGTGCCACCCAGGGACTCCCGGTTACACTGCTAGTAAGGGGTGAAGCCAGGACTTAAACAATGACAGCCCAACTCCAGAGCCTGCATCTTCTACCACCAGAAGACCAGTTTCAGGTGGGATGCGGGGGGAGGGAATCAGGTGCCCCAGTGTCCTAACAGCAAGAAGCAACAGTGTATGTGGCTGGAGACTAGGGTTATCTGGGAGGAAGCTAAAAACTGTCAAGCTGATGCCGACTCACAGCTACCCTATAGGCCAGAGTAGAACTGCCCTATAGGGTTTCCAAGAAGCAGCTGGTGGATGTGAACTGCTGACTTTTTGGTTAGCAGCTGTTAACTTCCTGTAGCTCTTAACCACTATGCCACCAGGGTTCCAAAGAAACGTAGGTAGGAGACGAATTAATTAAGGCATAAAACATGCCAAGCTAAGTATGAGTCTGAATCAAAGATATGCCGATTTCTTAATGAGAAATCTGGTGTCTCTTTGCTCAAGGACTTTTTGCAGTATGTCTTTTTTCTTGACTACCATGAAAAAAGTGATCATTTTGACCAGAAGCAATTTCTCTTCTTAAGAGTTCCGGCTACACCACTTACTACCTCTACGACCTAAAGTAAATTACTTAACATCTCTGACCCCTGCTACAAGAACTGAACAGACAACACTTATAAAGTACTGTCTGACACCTAGCAAGCGTTCAGTAAATGCTAGTCCCTATCATTGCTATTTAAAGTCTCTCTGGTGAAGAACGTTACGTATTAGGTGCCCAATACATTTCACATTTGTTTTTATTTTGCATCCCCCTTTCTCAAAAGCCCTCATGCATTTACCCTCCCAACCCGCAACGCTCAGTGGTGACTGCCCCAGAACCTCCGAAGCCTTCCCGGTTTCCGAGACACGACGGCGTAGACGTCGCCGAGGCTGGTACCTTCACGATGACGGCTTTGCGTCCGGAGTAGCGTCCGGCCAGGACCAGCACCACCTTCCCGGGTTTCATGAACTTGCCCATTTCTGCAGAGAGCAAGGAGAAAGGGTTGCTCAGAAATCCAAAGAGCCCGCAATCCTAGGCCCGGATCTTCAGACTGCGCTCACTGCCGACCTGGCTCAGGCAGTCCGCAGGCCCTGCTCGCAGGACCAGATCCCCTAAGAAGCCGCCAGAGGCCGAGGAACAGAATGCACCCGGCGCCGCCCCGCAACCCAATCCCCCGGCCGCGGATTGAGGCCGATTGAAAACCCTTGCCAGGCCTCTACTTACCGACGGCAACCACCAAAGCCGACAGTAGAAAGGAAGAAATGGTACTTCCGTTGACCTTTCACCCCGAGGAGAAGTGACCTCACTTCCGGTCCCGCCCCTTAGGCCGTCACAGTAGTTAGTCGTCGCTCGGAATATGTGTGGTGGGCGGAAGAAACTCATAAGGGAAGAGCAGCACCTGGCAGAAAACTTGTCTGAATCAAACATTGTTAGTAGTTCCGGTAGTAGACAGGGCAAAGGAGTCCCGTTTCTGCCGTACTGATGAAGGAGGTAGGACGGCTTGTGTGCGTGCAGTCTTTTTGGCTCAGCTGCTCTACTGCCGTCTTTGTTGTAGTTCCCTGCCTTCGCGCTAGTTGCGGGGACAGTCTGAACTTTACTGTTTTTGCCTTAGAAGACGCAAAGAACAAAATGAAACATTTTTGGTGCCTACTGTGTGCACTCTGTTGGAGCCGTGGTGGCGCAATGGTTAAGCGGTCGGCTGCTAACCAAAAGGTGGGCAGTTCGAATCTACCAGCAGCTCCTTGCAAACCCTATGGGGGCAGTTCTACTCTGTCCTATAAGGGTGGCTATGAGTTGGACTCGACTCGACGGCAAGGGGCTTAGTTTGTTTTTTTTTGTGTGTGGACTGTGTTAGGTGCATAAAGAGGGAGAGACAAATATCAAACGAGGGTTCTTTTCCACATTAGATGACGTCACAGACATTACCAACTAGGATAAGCAGTGAAGGACGTGAAGGTGATAATAGCAGCTGTTTACCCTGTGCCAGGCAGAGTTACCTCATTATGGTACATTATCTCATTTGATCCTTATAACAACACTAGGCAGTAGGTACTGTTGTTACTTCCATTCTACCGTTGAAGAAACAGACTTAGGGAGTTTGAATAACCTGCTCAAAGGCCATAGCTAGAAAGTGGTGGAGCTGGAACACAGACCCAAGGAGTCCAACTTCTGAACTCATGCTTTTTACCATATCGTTTTTTCTGTGCCAGACAAAATGCTAGGCACTTTATATAATTCAATAGCCTATTTAATTCTCATAACTCTGCAACTTTAGTATCCCCATTTAGGCATGAGGAAATAGAGATTCAGAGAGGATAAATTACCTATCTTGGATTGAACCTGACCAGTGGCATTAGATGGGATTCAAATCTAGGTCTGGAACCCAGGTCTAGTTGACGCACAAAGGGAATTATTTTCCATCACTCCCAGGAAGAGTGTTTTTAGATGGAGTTCCAAAGAAGAGCCCATCCCAGTTTTTGCTCATCTGAGCATTGAAGAACCTATATAGCTGGTCTTGAGGCAAGCTGTGGGAACAATCAGCATAAAGTGTTTCATCAATTCTCTTCTTGAGGCTCTCCAGGTACCAAATTCCCCAGCAGCTCTCAGGACCCCATCCAGTGGTTTATCACACTAATTATGTAGTTGTATTTTTATATCCAATTAAAATACTTTAATTTGTATCATGAAATTTTAGAGTTGGAAGGGACATCAGAGATTATTTACTCCAGCCTCTCACTTGAAGATGAGAGGACAGTTCTAGAGTATCGAAGCCACAGAGTTTGTGGCACAGAGCAAGATCTCCTCATTCCCAACCCAGTGTTCTTCCCATTGTATCACACTACCCTGTCCATTTCTGCCTCCGTGGTCTTCTTCTAACCTCCTTCTCTGTTTCTGCCCCTTTGCTGTTTCTTCTGGAAAAGAGGAACGAAACCCTGAAACCTTGTAATCACTTCGATTCTTCTCACATACTCTTTCATTGCCATTAAGTAAATTCCAACACATAGCAACCCTATAGGACAGAGTAGAACTGCCCCATCAGATTTCCAAGGCTGTAATCTTTATGGAAGCAGACTGCTACATCTTTCTCCTGTGGAGCAGCTGGTGAGTTCAAACCACCGAACTTTCAGTTAGCAGCTGAGCACTTAACCACTCTGCCACCAACTAGAGCCCTTTCTCACATACTACCACCCTCCAAATCAAATTAGTAAGTAAATCCTGTGAATTTTGTCATATAGCTTCTATTTTCGTTTCTATCCTTTTCCGCCTTCCCTAACTGACCTGAAGTCAGTTTTCTCTTCTCGAGTCACTTCTCAAACTCTAGTGTGGATCGGAATCACCTAGGATGGTTGTTAAAGATGCATCTCCAATCCCAAGAGATTCTGATTCAGGTCTGGAGTGGAGCTGTATAATCTATAAATATTATTTTGAGAAACTGCTCTAAAAATGATTCTAAGCCCACCACTAAAATCCTGTACTGGCTCTCTGTTTCTAAAGTTTGAACTCTCACTCCCACCTATCTTTCCTTCAGGACAAGTTTTATGATTCCTCCACACCCCTCATGTACTCCCTGGGATCCAGCCAGCCAAACCTCTTCTGAGCCCTGGGGTTTTTACTCAGGCAGTTCCATGTATCTCAGTTCTTCCCCATAGCTGGCGGGGGCAGGGTGGGGGCAGAAAGCCTATCCATCCTTCAAGGCCATTTCTAAACTGGCCCAAGCAAAATCTCTCGCTTGTCTGTGCTCCCTCAGTAATCTCTGTTTACCTTTATTACAGAATATATATTAGTTGGTTTGGATCAGTAGTTCTTAAAGTGTGGTCCAGATCAGCAGCATCACCGTCACCTGGGAACTTACTAGAAATCCAAATTCTCAGACCTCATCCCAGCAATCTACGTTTTAACAATCTACTCATATCTCCAGTTGGCCTGGCTGTCTCCTTCCTTAAGTTGTGTGTTCCTCGAGGGCAGGGAGTATGTTTTATCTTTATACGCAGCATCTAGCCTGACTCAGGCAGTTGGTTGGTGCTCAATAATGCATGAATGAATGTGGAGCATCTTAGAAATCTCTAACAATGCTTTGCAAATCATACTTGTACTAAAACAGAACACAATTCACTTCATTTTCTCAGTGACTCTGCACTTTCACTGAATACGTATCTGTGATTTTTCTTTCCATTCTTGCATAGCCTTACAATCCTGGGTTGTCTGTACCTTCTCTTCTCCCTTGTCTGGTCTGCCTCACCCCAAGCCAAGGATAGAACGCTGTCCTCAGTTACGATGCAGATGATATCAGTGACTAGCAGATACCTGTGATTGCTGGGATGCTGGCTGGATTGTCTCAGTCTATACACACCTTATGATTTCCTGAAGAACTTCGCAGAACAATGACTGTCCATCTCCCTATAGCCTAGTCCTCTGGCAGCTGAAATTCCTGGCAGGTATGTGGAAAATACCTTCTATTCCCCAGAGTGATGGTGGAGTGACAGGGTGGGGGAAGGAGAGAAACAAAAGGTCTAGAAGCAGCACGATACAATGAGGTAGTATGGTAGAGTAGAAAGACCTGGCTGTGGAGCCAGGCAATTTGAATTCATATTCCATCTCTTCCACCGTGTAAGCCTGTGCTTCAGTTTTCTTAGCTGAAAAATGGGGATACTGCCTTACTAGTAAGAAATTAGGATGACACATACACAAATGCTTCCCATGATGCTAGCACAAAGCCTTAATACAAGTTAGTTTATGTAAGAATTCAAAATAGACAGTACTGGGGTGATCCCACGGCTATGCCGTATCACCCACCCTAAATGACTTCCAGACAAATGGATTCCAAAGTGCCAGTTCCAGATGCGGCATAGGTGGCGAGACCTGCTGTGGGGATAGGGCTGTAGCCTGGGCTGGAGGGGATGATAATGCCAAGTGTACTTTTTAGTGAAACAATATTAAGAAAAAAGGAAAACCAAAGCTGAGTTGATTCAGGGCAGGGAGGAGGCAGAAGGGTAAGGAGCTCTCAAGGAAATACTGATCTGGATCAGATGGGCTGATAATGCCCAGACAGACTTAGAAAGCAAGGCTGAGGGTTAGTCTCTAAGGTCTTTGCAGAGAAGTTACACAAAATACTATGATTTTATTAGCAACCACAAATGTATCATTTTTCACATCATTTAACAAACTCTTTCACACAGATGGTAGACTAATTCTACCCAAATAGCAATAATGCATTTAAAATAAGTAACACAATGCTGAAAAAAAGATTAAGTTAAAATGCACTACATAATAGTGCGACAGAGAAAGTGCAGCTGGCAATACATGAAAACAATGCTGAATCAGTAATGTTTGGAGCCCATTTAGTTTTCCAGAAAGTTACCGGGGTTTTTTTCCCCATCTTTAGTCAGTCCTAGAGCAGTACCCACCACAAGCAGGCTGACAAGTGTGAACTAAAAGGGCTAAAATACTGAAGACCAAATAGGAACACTCTACAGCCAGTTTCACAATGAAATACTCAGCCCCCTTGTCTGTAAATGGTGATCTGCTGTAGTACCTAACCTCCCTCTCCTAGTACCTGTAGTGGGAATGGACTGGAAGAAAACACTTTAGCCATCATCTGAGGGAGAGGAGCAAGATCAGACCTCCTCCATCATCCTGCCTCTAAGACAAGTGCTGCCTGGGGAACCACACCCAGGGAGGAGCTGCTGCAGGTTACCAACGTGTGTTCCTGTACATACGCCAGGAGTCTCTGAAGCAGCAAATCTCTAATTCATTTACTTCTAAAAAAACTTATCAGTGTCTTATTGGAAGGCGTGTAGAGGAAAGTCTACTTGCCAGAGGACCTATTCCCAGACATTGATTCTCCTTTCTTATAAACAACTCTGCTCCAAGACAACAAAAGGACCACTGTCTGTGCTGTGAGACGAGGACTACCGGGTCAGGGACAGGCTTCAGTTCTTAGCTTCACAAGAAAAAGGGCTCATATTAAAATCAACTTGAGGTTCACTTCCTTAAAAATGTTGTTCTCAGACAGTCTCATTCCTAGTTTTAGAGGCAGTTCCGCCCATCCTGGCGTCAGGAAGAAAAGGGGAATCAGTATTCTTAAAAAGAAATTTTAACTCTGGCCCTAGGGCTCTCAGACCTGCTTCAAGTAAAGGAAGATGGCTCCCAACTTGACCAACAGGAACCTCAAGTTGAATGTCTTCCAGGACCAACAACTCATGTTGTCACTTACTGCCAAAAAGAGAACAGTCAGAGCAATCTGAGTATTCTGAAAATCAGACGTGGCATGACAAGACAAGCTGGTGCGTAACTGTGTCATGCCGGGCATCTTTTACAGAGCCTCAAACATATGTGCCCGTATGTACACCATGGTCACACACCTGGGCAGAACATTTTTACTAAGTGGGTTTCCTGCATATCTTTCTGAGATGCTAAGTTGGTGGGAAAAAGAGATTTTGCAGTCATCTGGTTGGCCACCGAAGCAGGATCAGGAAACATTTTTAACCCCTCCTCCTCCTGTCCTAGAAGACTGACACATTTATCTCTACTGAGTGAGGCAGTAGTCTAGGGCCAGGTCATTCGAATCAAAAGGCATCTCTGATGTTCTTGAGCTGGCGCACAGCTAGGTCTACAGGGAGGCTGAACTTGAGGCTGCTGAGGCGACTGAGCAGGTTGAGGGCGCTCTCAAAGCCTGTGTGTGCCATGTAGCTCCAGGGCTGGTAGTGGGGCTCGATGAGCGATCCCGACTTGCAGATGAGGTTCACCCAGGACACCAGACGCTGCTCATTCAGTGCCATGCACACCAAGGCCTTTAGCTCTGAGTCTGCGCTGCGCTTAAAAGGATCATGGTCCGTCAGCACCATGTGGATGGCTGTCAGTAGGCTCTGTTTGGGGGTTACAACAGTGCCCCCCATCACAGGCAGGGCAAAGGACTGGGAGAGCTTCCGAGCTGGAGATTCCACATAAGCACGGCCATTCTTAGCATGGTAGTACTTTACAAAGAGCTCCCAGGGGTGCATGGCCTCAGGGGCCGAGGAGAAGGCTGGCAGCAAACAAGCAATGGGGGCCATGACAAGGCTCATGCCTGGAGAGGAGGCGTACAGCCCATGGGCCAGCAGGTCTCTCACGGCCACTGTCAGCTCCTTCCGCACAGCCATTGTCAGCTCGTCCTTGCCTCTCAGAGAAAGGTCCTGGAGGTTGGCAGAGGTGACAACATGGTCGTATGGCGGCTGGTGCCTCAAGGCCAGCTGTTTCACTCTGTCTACTGATACCTCCAGTCTCTTTAGTAAGGGAGAGTAGTCCCTGTCAGCCTGGCCCCTCGGCCACAGGGTCTGCGGAATCTGGCCTGTGGCACAACCGAACTGGCTAGCGGCAAAGATCTGGAGCACGGCCAGCGCTCGTCGCATCAGGTGCAGCCCCATTTCCCGAACTCTCTTCACATCTTCTGGCTTCGCTGTTTACAAAAGGACAGTGACTCATCAGTAAGACGCCATAATGCACAGAGGCACATCTAACAAGTCATAAGCTGAGATCAAGTCTTGCTTCTGAGCTACAGTATGAGCCCATGCAGCCAAGAGCCACCTAGGATGTAGGTGGACTTAACCTTTTTTTTTTTTTAAAATTGTTAGTAACAGCTTTATTGGGATATAATTCATATATAATAGTATATAATACATCCATTTAAAATGTATACTTTTTTTTTTTTGTATATTCAGCTTTGTGCAACCACCACCATAATAAATTTTAGGATATTTTCATCACCCCAAAAAGAAACCTCGTACTACTAGCCGTCCTCCCCATTTCACCCCAATCCCCGTAATCCTAGGCAACCACTAATCTACTTTCTGTCTCTATGGATTTGTCTATTCTGGAAGCTGTACTTACCTTTGCCATTTCCTGGAGGCAGTCTGCTGCTGCCTGTTCTGGTGGAGCCACTTCCTGTCTTCCCACTGGTCTTGCACTCACAGTGCCTATCACCTGTCTGCAAGGGGCTGCCCACTTCATCTGTGATCAGAAGTTACAAAGAGAAGACACTGGCCCTTTATGGCAGATTTTTCAAGGAAAAATAATATTTACTAGTGCCTACCACATGACAAGAATTTTACAAATATTATTTAATGGTATAACAGTGACTGGCTCAATAAATATTTGTTGAGTGAACGAAGAATGAATCATTGCTTTATGGATGAGAAGAGCAAGACTAACGTGCTTAGTAACCTGCCCAAGGACACAAAGTGCCCAAGGACACAAAGTGGCACAGCTGGGATTTTAACTCTGCCTTGTTCTAAAACCCATATTTTTTCCACTCTACCATACTGGTTCCCTTACTAAGTGATCAAACCTCTTAAAATAGTACATCAAGAACTGGCACCTTGTTCAGCTGGGGATTGGACAGCCCCATAAAACAAAACGGGACTGATGAGGCGCAGCAGTCTAGGGACAAGGACTAGAAGGCAGAAGGGGACAGGAAAGTCGGTGATAGGGAACCCAAGGTTGAGTAAGGACAGTGTTGACATGTAGTGGGGTTGTTAACCATTGTCATGGGGCAACATGTGTACTACCTGTTTAATGAGAAACTATTTTGTTCTGTAAACCTTCACCTAAAGTGAGAATAGCAGCGCAACTGGAAGAACGTAGTCGATGTCACTGAATTGTGCATGTAGAAATTTTTGAAATGGCGTATCTTTGGCTATGTATATTTTCACCAAAAAAAAGGTGGAGAAGGGAGAGTGTTGACATGTCGTGGGGTGGTTAACCAATAGTCATAAAACAATATGTGTAATGACTGTTTAATAAGAAACTATTTCTTCTGTAAACCTTCACCTAAAGTACAATTAAAAAAAAAAAAAAAGAACTGGCACCTTTAGGTATTAGTACTCAGAATTAGTGTAATTTATTATTATGTCCACCCTTCTCTCCCTGCCCCCTCCTCTGACCTTGGATGAAGCTGATGAACATCTCGAGGTCTCGGATCTGAGTTTTCAATTGCTCAACCAACTGTTCTTTCACTCGGGCTGGGTTGACGATCTGAGCCACAGCGGCATCCACACGCTGACGGAGCTCTTCAGTGGACAGTGAGCTAATGTCCTCATTCAGGTTCATGTCCAGTTTCTTTATTAACTCATCTATGATCACCTATGAGACCACATGCAATGAGCACACCCTCTAGCATTTTTCAGGGAGAGGGTTAGGGAGAAGGAGGAGAATCATAACTTGTATGCCCTCTACCCTGAAACAGAAATCAAAGACACACACAACTCCTAACTTTGTCATAGAAAATGGTGCAACTGCTAATCAGGCTGAGGGCTCAGATTCTCTACTTCTCTTACAGGAACAAGAAATTTTTGTTCCTCTCGGCAGAAATGACTCCTCTCACCCACTGCAGATTTTCTACCAGGCCAGTCAGTTTTAACTCAGGAGAATAACAGTGTGAATATTAAGGCTATAAGAAAATAATTAATTTCTATTAATTTCTAGTTCTTCTCATTCTTTCTTGCCCCATTCTAGGCAACTAAAGAAAAACCTCCACATAATGACAAGGTACATTACAGCCAAAAAATAATATACTAATGACATTATTAGAATCAATATGAAACCTGGTAATGTTAATTCCAGCCCAGCCAGAAAAACAGCCATATCACAGGCTTAAATGTAACATGTAGGGAAAGCTGTAGCTGTATCTTTTCCAATAGATTTGCTAGTCTACCCAGATCCTGCTTAAGTAAATATAGTATTAAAGTCAGTCTGGATTCCTTGAATACTTAGCAACTGATGGTGAGTAGAAGAAGAAAAGCTCATCTACATTGTACATTTGCCCAAATAGAACTGTTCTAATTACCAAATGAAAGCAACTATTGTTATATTATTACTACTACTATTTTTAATAATAGTCATCAGAAAAGAAGGGCTCCATCTTTACATTACAAAGCTTTGGAACCTGTGCTTTCCACGTGCGAATAAAGAATGGTCCCGTGTAATAACATTTCCCTTTGATTTGTGCTGGCTCACAGATTCTCAGTAAGGCCCAGGGAGAGTGAGCTAGGAGAGGATGTGCTGTGAATGCTGGAAAGGACAAGTTAATCTTAGGCAGTGGTGGAGGCACCTCTGAGGTCTGCTCACCCGCTGTCTTTCCAAGACCACGGACTGCGGCAAGGAGTCATAACTGCCCTCTTGGTAGGCAAAAGTTTCCAGGTCATCTAGCTGGGTCTTGAGCTGCAGTATCAGTTCCCTCTGCTTCTCCCTTTGGGTTTCCTGACGCTCCCGTTTCTCCTGCTCACTCTAAAATAAGAAAACACTTAGGTCTATTTTCAGGGCACATTAAAAATCCTCTCAAGCCAATAATGACCAGTAAAATATAAAATGTTTCCAAATAATCCAAATGAAATATAGAATTTATAAGGCATGTTCAAAAATAAGAATAATTATTTCATCCAGGGCAATTTATTAAATATGTGTTTTTGTTAAGAAAGCATCTCTCCCTCCTTGGAAATAGGATATGAATATAATGGGGCCTTTTGTTAAGGCTCTTCTTCTCAAAGGTCTAGTTGGGGTTGAGATAACTCATCTTAGCTAAGACAGCCTCCTAGGAATTAAACATGCCATCCTCTCTAGCCAGTTATCACAGAAGGACTCCTGAATACTTTGTGCCATCCAAGTTTGCAATAGACTGGGGATAAGAATTTAGAGAAAGGCTTCATAACTCACAACCAGTTCTCTTAAGGTTCAAAGCCCCTCCGCCACAGGTCCTTGAGGCACTGAGAAAAATCCAGAAGCCAAGTAAAGGGAGTGGGAAGGCAACAATGTTTAAAAAAAGGGTCTGAAAGGTTTCTCTAACCAGTGGCTATAATCACTGTTAGTCACCAGGTAGTGTATGCATTTAAATGATTCAAAACTCTTCAGGGTGGTAAAGTCTTACCAATGTATTCTCAAGCACTGGTTCTTCTTTGCCTTTCTTGAGTATCAAAAACAAAACAAAGTGAAACCAGCTAATTATTTGTAGGTCTAAGGATGTCGTTTGGAGCCCTGATGGCGAAGTGGTTAAGAGCTTGGCTGCTAACCAAAAGGTTGGCAGTTCAAATCTACCAGCTGCTCCTTGGAAACCTTATGGGGCAGTTCTACTTTGTCTTATAGGGTCACTATGAGTCAGAATTGACTTGACGGCAACGGGTTTGGTTTTTAAGGCTGCCATTTAAACTACAAGTCTGTAAATCTATAAGATATTAAGTATAGCCTTTAGAATGGTACTTACCAAACCCTCCAGAAGTAAGGCATGAGAGAGAACAAATGGAAAACAACAAATAAGCTCTCTGTTACAGCTATTTTAAAAGCAGTCCTCTAGCTTTGGGTTTGCGCAACATAAAAACGAGTCTTTTCTCAGGATACTCCCTCTACATTCCTTTGTATATTGTTGCTTTTTCTTAGAATCCCATCTCTCCACCCGTCACTTCAGAAGGCCTAGTTATCCTTTAAGAGAAGATTTCCTGGTTTCTGCAGGCAGAACTAATCGTTTCCTCCTCTGCAATCTACACACATTTCTCCTCTAGCTCATTATCGCACTGTAATTATTTGTTTAGGATTTTGTGTCCCCTAATCTATGAACTCCTTAAGGGTAAGGGTATTTATTGACTTTGTACCCCCACTACCCAGCATAGTGCCTGGTATACAGTAAGCTCTCAATATACATTTGTTGTATGTTACTGAACCGAACAAGGAACAGAATGACAAATTCCAAACAATGAACTCTGCCTGGAGGAAGTTATCTAACCAGCCCCTAGAGAAATGGGGAAATTTTCTTTTTGTTTTCACTCTATCCCAGCTTTATGAAGCCATGGAAGAAAGAAATCAGCCATACACTCTGACCCTGTGTTCATGACTATGTCTGCTGAACTCTGTCACTTGCCATGCTAGGTACAGTATGCTATTTGCTGGAGTGTAGGCAAACATGTTTTTAGTAGGAGAGAACAATGAGCTCTAGTGCAAGGCAGAAAATAACAGAAATAATTTCTAGTATGAAGTGAGATAAGAGAAAATGCTGAGTTTTTAAAAAACCTGGAACTGGTAAGAAGTAAATCATTCCGTGTAAAACTGTCTCCCACTTTGGCACTACCTGTTCATGTGTCAATGTACACACAAGAGGTGCTTATTAGGTGGGCCAAGCACTACACTTTTTTTGTACATTATTTCTGAAAGTCAAAACAAATACCAGCAAAAAGAGAGTGCTTTTGTTGCTGCTCACTCCTGAAGAAGGCCTGGCCACAGTAATTCTTTCTATTCCTTAAAAGTCTGGCAGCTTGAGGTGGTGCTCCTTGTGCAAGGAGCTGTGGGAAGGTGGAGAGAAGGGTGGAATAGTAAACACAGGATTGCACTGGAAACATTTCAGGCTAAAATAAGTAAGTCGATTATCTGCTACTGATAAGTCTTCTTGGCTAAAACCAATTTAAGCAGGAAGAAGGCCACATGTGGGCTGTAAGTTGAGTAAAAAGGTGGAGAAAAGGCAGTGTTCTCTTCAACACTTCAACCTATCTGTGCACTTACAGAGATTCACAATCTATAAGGAAACTCCCTTGGTAGAGTGTCAGTTAACTGAATCTTGTCAGTTACCACCAAGACCTCATTTAGAATACCTAATTATTAAGCAGGACGGGGTGGGAGGTGTTAAAAACACCAACATTAGGAAATTATATAATCAGGAGTTGTGTTTCTCTCAATTACTAACAGATCTTGCTCTCACCCAGACATGAGATTCTGAAGAGTAAAGATTTTGTCTAGATTCCAGGAAAGCACAGACAGAACCTCTATGGATTCCAACTCACTTGCTTTCACATTCCAGACCCCCACAAAAACAGCCCAATTTCCCCAATTGCCAGGGCTGGAGTACTCTATCAGCAAATGTGTCCAAGACTTAGGAACTCTACAAGGTGAAGGCAAGGTGAGTGGGAGCAGTACTGCCTCTGCTGCTCTGTCGCCTTTTCAGTACTCCCTGTGCTCGCCACTCTCCCACTCCTCAGGTCATCACACACCGGCATCTCTCCTTTCCACCCCCTCCAACTGGCCCCGCACACCTGTCTCCAGCCTCCTCGTTTCCAGCAGGCATACGCACCCACCACCACCCACCCAACTGCCCCTATTTCAATATCCCTCGGGGCCAGGCCCCAGCCGCTCACCGGGTCCTCGCCCCACAACCGGGGTCGGTCCCCCAGCAGCTCGTCGCTGGCAGGGTCCTCACTGTCCCTGTAACCAAGGACGTGAGGGCAGCCACGGAAGGCGAAGTCCTCGAGTTCGCGCAAGAGGCGCTGCTGCTCCGCCGGCGCCCCGCGCACCACCTGGCGCAGGCGGAACTGCACCTGCGCGAAGTGCGAGGACAATGCAAGCAGTGCCGAGTCCAGCCGCCGCCGCTCTGCCCGAAGCCGCCGAAGCGTCCGGCCCGGCGAGTCTGGCGGGGAGGACGGGGCCACACCGGACTCCTCGGCCGACGCCTCTTCCGAGAACGCAGCTGTTCCAGGCCCGGCCTCCGCCACCGCCCCCACCGGAGCCCAGCGCACCGTCTCGCACGGTGGCAGTGACTCCTCTTCCTCCTCCTCTTCGTCCTTCGCCTTCGGTCCAACCGCAGCCACCACAGTTACCGGATCAGCAGCCGTTTCGACAGCCGCCATCTTCCCGGAAACGCAGCCGCACGTCAGCCGCGCCCTCTGCTGCCATGGCAACGGCGCGCTGGCTGGTTGACTGGAAAGGGACAGGTGGGCGGGCTTACAGTTCAGCTGTCCTCGAGGGCACGCCTCCCCCAGGAATTTAATTCGGTCCAATAATTTGTTTTGGAAACCCTGGTGGCGTAGTGGTTAAGAGCTACGGCTGCTAAACAAACCGTTGGCAGTTCGAATCCACCAGGCGCTCCTTGGAAACTCTGTGGTGTAGTTCTACTCTGTCCTACAGGGTCGCTATGAGTCGGAATTGACTCGACGGCAACGGGTTGGTTTTTTTTTTAATAATTTTTTTATTGAGCGCCTGTTGTGAATCAGACACTGAGTGTGCTAAGCATTGGAGAAACAGGCGAATAAGACCGGGGAGAAGTCTTCCTTGCAGCCTACCAGTCATTCCATGTGTAGAGCGTCTAATTTAGCTCTTGCCCTGACCCTAGCAGAGGAATCATCTATCCTTAGTGTGTATTTTTTGGAGACCTCCGAGCTGTGAAGGACTACAGGGATTATGCTCTCCCAGAGTCTCTCCTAAAAGCGGATCCCTTGGCTATCGGGCCACGCTTCCCCTCCCTCCCACTTTCCCCCCACCGTATAAGGAGAGGCAGCTGCTGGGAGCGTCCCCAGGATCTAAATATAGTGGCCCCTGCCTAGGACTCCAAAAGCCACGGGGCGGCGGGAGCCATCATGGCACGGTGAGTGTCTCCAGCGGCGGAACTCCCCCTGGCTTTTTCCCTTGGAGATTCCCTACCCCGAATCTTCTCCTGGGCGCTCCAGGTTCTGCGAGGTCCCATGGGAGCCCCAGGCCCCCAGGTCTCTGTAACTGCGGGATGAGGGGAAGTGTGACTTGAATGTTCTCCCTAACACCCTACTTCTCCACCTCCATAGTCTCGCGCTTTCGATTCTCCCCAGATTTCACCCTCACCACACACACCCACTCCCGACACTCCCCCTCAACTCCCTCAACCCTTGTCTGTCTCATGTAGCTCCACTTTGAGAGAACTGTGGTATCAAAAGTCCCTATATTTTCCCCTCCCCCACCTTTTCCAAATGCCTTCAATCTTCCCTCTCCCACCCTTATGAAGCCGCACATCCACTCCTATCCAGGCAGCATGCCCGGACCCTGTGGTACGACAGGCCCAAGTATGTGTTCATGGAGTTTTGCGTTGA